TGTCCTCTGTTTCACCCGAAGACCACCCCTGCGCCTCACTGTAGTCCAAGCCCACCAGCTATGGTGGCTGGGCTATGGCGCTGCCCTCAGCAGCGCCCTTCTTCCTTGCACGACCGCACGTGCTGCACCTCGCCTCTCAGCGCCAGCCAGCAGCCGCGAGCCTTTGCTCCAACAGCGCTGCCGCTAGCATGTGAGTGCCTGAATGAGGCTGCCTGGAGTGAGCTCTTTCCTTTATGGAAAGAGCTGGCCTACTCGCGCAGCCTGGCTGCACTGGCCTGGGCCTAGAAGCTTCCGGAAGGCCCCAGGAGGTGTACAGCAGCTACTGGGCTGCTGGGCCTTGTTCGGTTGGGCGCCCAACTGTCTCTGTATGAGGCTGCGAATCACGCCCAGGGCCTGCATTCTTTGGAAAGGCTCGGAGGGCCGTGTAAATGTCTTTGTTGCTCGGCCTGTGTTTCTCTCAACTAACTGGCGCGTCGCAACTGCCTGGACCCCAAATATGAAATTGACAGTCGAGGGCCTCTTGCAAAAAGCCAGGCCCGCCTTCACTTAGGGTGGGCACCTCCGCCTTCACTTAGGGCGGGTAGTGCTGCAAACAGGGCCTCATAGGCCTACCGAGGACCTTGATCCTCGCACTACTTGATTTACTAATAAACAATCAATAGATCAAGCAAGCTGGCTGCTTTATTGAGCGGGTCCTCTGATTGAGAGGTCCGCTCTGATACCAAACTGTCGCATACCGTAACGATGCATACCAGAACAAGAACCGACCTCTCTCACAAAGTACGAGATAGCATAGCGGAAGACTTAGATACCAATGATCCGAACAATCAATGTTGCAATGCAGCCCCAAACATACATCATCATCATTCCATGGTGTGAAGGGGCCTGGCGCTCACACAGGAAGAATGCGCCAGTCCCCAACCATACATAGACGAAGAAGAGGGGGGTTAGATGAAGAAGAGGGGAAGATGGAAATGTCGTCAACACCAAGTCTTTGGCACAGGCCCCAAATAATCCCTCGTCAAATGTCTGAATCCCAATGTCGAGTCTGGACCCAATGTCGTCAAGTCCCAAGGTCACAACTCTCTCTCTCTCTCTCTCGTAGTCCGCAAATACTGAGAAGTCCGGTAGCGAGAGGGTGAAGAAGAGATGGTGGACTTAGAAGAGGAAGAAGAAAAACTCTCTCTCTCTCTCTCAGTCTGGTGCTAACCTGTGAAGGTGGCGCCTTGTGCAGGTACATGGAAGACGAAGCTGGAGCTATGGCGCCACAGGTAAGTCTTCCTGGCTTCCGCCAACCATCTCTCTCTCTCCCTCTCCAATGCTACTCTAGCTCCTACTAGCGCCCAACGCTGAAGACTACTACTCCTGCAGCGCTCCTCCAGAGTGCTGCTGTCGAATCCTGAAGACTACCTCCTGCCTCCTGAACTGCATGTGAAGTGCCTGGCCAGTCCCTATGAACTACCTACCTGCCTGTAGGGTGGGCCAGTCTTATATAGTGCTGGCCCGTCCAGGAGGCTGCTCTTGCCAATGCCCAAACGTGCTAGACCCTGAGGAAGCTTCCGGGAGGCTACTCTTGCCAATGCCAGAACGTGCTAGCCCCCGAGGAAGCTTCCGGGTAGTTTCCGGGTAGCTTCTGGCTAAAGACTATAGGCCCTTGTTTTCAGGCTGTCAGGCTGAACCGACCCAGGGCGTGTCGGCCCTCGTTTTCAGGCTGTCAGTCTGACACGACACAGGGCCTTTAAGCCCTCGTTTTCAGGCTTTTAGGCTAAAAGCGACACAGGGCCTGTAGGCCCTCGTTTTCAGGTTTTTAGGCTGAGAACGCTGGTTGGGCCCTGCAGGCCCGTGTGGCTGCGCAGTATGCCACAGCCTGACTAGATCGTGTACGAGATCCCCTTGAGCCCAATCTGATCAGTTTTGTGAACGTACAACAAATCCGGACAACGCATAACGACATCCAGCAATGGAGAATTGGGTGGTGTATAAGGTGTGAGCCAAGCCTCGGACGGTGCGGTAACAGTATGCAAAACATCTCAGCTGAGATCCCCTTGGCAACGAGTGCTCTAACCAAAGAGTGAAACTCCGGATTCCCGATAGAAAGAGAATGATCTGACGTCAAACAGATTTGGGCCTAAGGGGCCCCTATTGCCTGGGCCCGGTCCCACTGGGTACCTAAGGGTTCCACGTAGGCCGTGACCGAGTCCCAATTAAGAGGAGTCCTGCATGGACCTACTTTTTGCCTCTACCGAACTGAAAAGCGAATTTCAACTTCAGAGAGAACTTAGTAACTACATCCGGTCAAAGAAAAAAGACAATGCACTGTAGAAAGATACGGCGCTCAAAGCAAGATACTTCATCTCTCTATCCATCAGGTGAGAAAGCAGTTTGCACACTCAAACATAATCAAGACCACCGATGAGTAGGAAAAGAAACCCAAAATTACCCAAACAGGACAATAATACCATGCACACGCACATGGGCATCCCGTAGGTGCACGACACTTACCTGAGTGGCCTGAGCTTCGAAATGAAATAAAACTCACCCCCCTCTCATATGGTCCTCCTGACCCCTTTAACGCTACCCCTACACCAGTGTCCTATACAATAGGAGGGTCTGACTCCAACTCCCAAGTGCAACGCCGGATCCCCCGTGGATGCTGAAGATCAAAGTAGCAACTTGCAGTTTGTAGATGTAGAATGGCTACTTCCCTCGAGCTCGCCTACTTGCGGGAAGCCCTAAAGTCACCAAGGTCAGATTCCAGGTGTGGGTGCCTCTCACTATCGCTTCTCCTAAATTGTCACACGAAGTCTTCTCGAAGTGTCTCGCCACCCAAGCTCACTCTCCATCAAACCCAATGTCGACCTAGCATGACATAACCAGGTGGGGGCATCTTCCCCAAACCACGCTGCCCCACTTCCCACTTCGGCCCAGCCCTCACCCTAAGTGGTAGCCCGTACCACTTGGATTAGGGTTGGGCAGCAAAGCCAACTCTTGCCAGCAAGTAGAATCTGCTCTGATACCAATGTTACAATCCTGGCCAGTTTCGAAGTACAAATTCACGAGAAAGCACAATGTCGTCCGATTGGAAAAAGGAAGGAATGAACTTGAGAGGAGAGAGAGGGAAAGAAGAAGAAGAAGAAGAAGAAGAAGAAGAAGAAAGAAAGAAGAAGAAGAAGATGTACACCAGCAAAGACCAATGATAATCCCCCTTCTTCTCGCCAACCAAACTCTCCTCCTTTTCTCCTCCCCTCTTATTCAAACAATAAACAATAATAATAATGATGAATGGCAGAACCAGAATCAATGTTCGAATCCCTCTTCCACTGCCAGCACAACTTGAGGTCCACCATAGCCATGGCCACCCTTCTCCTTCCTCTACATAAAGGCCGAGGCTATGGCGGACTACTAAGGGTCCTGCCCTGCTGTGCAAAAGACAACACAAAGCAGCTATAGCCTCTTCCTCTCAGGCCGCCATGCCTGACTCTGCCTCAAAGCTTCTTGATGCAGCTCTACTCCGACTGGGGCCTTCCAAATGCAGCGCCCACCAAGGTGATGAAGATGGCATCGACCATAGCCCGGTAAGTACCCCTGGCGCTCCCCCTTTCTAGTCCTCTTCTTCCTCCTCCTGCGGCCCGAGCTCTCCACCATAGCCAAAGTGGAGAGCTGGGCGCTCCTCCTCTTCCCCAACGCTGGACTTCAGCAGCGCTCCACCAATCGCGCCAGCAGCATGTCGCTTGCACGCCGCACAATGAGGAGGGGCACTCCTCGAGGTATAGCGGCCAACTTGCCTTTTGGGCGGTGACTTCCAGGCCGCATGGCCTCCAAGCAGCCGGTACCTCATCTTTTTGGAGGGAAACATCATTGCAGACTCTGATATTGCCTGTACAGGCCCTAGACTCAGACCACTTGGACTGGTACCCGCCTAGACCTAGCCCACTCCTCTTCCCCAATGCTGGACTTCAGCAGCGCTCCAATCGCTCCAGCAGCGTGTCGCCAAACTTGCATGCCACACAATGAGGAGGAGCACTTCGCTCCTCCCCGAGACATAGCGGCGAACTTGCCTTTTGGGCGGTGACTTCCAGGCCGCGCGGCCTCAAGCAACCGGTACCTCATCCCTTTTGGAGGGAAACATCATTGCAGATGTTGATATGGCCTGTACAGGCCCTAGACTCGGGCCACTTGGACTGGTACCCGCGTAGACCTAGCCCACAACTACTGGGCCTCTGAAAATGCCATCTTTTTGTCTTCTTCTGCTCGGCCTCCAGTCCCCGACACATCTATCGCTACTTTGAGTCATACCGGCCTACCTGCTACTTGAGTGTTTTTCCCCTCTGCTCTAAGTGTTGTGGGCCTACTCCCGCTACTTGAGTGTTTTCCCTGCTGCAACCCTCAATGTCACAGCCACAGGTAAGTACCGGCCCTACGGGGCCTTTCAAGCAAGCAAGTACCTTTGCGGGTCACACACACGCTCAAGCCGACAAGCACTCAGACAGGCACGCAGACCAGCAACCATGCACACACACAAAATTACAAACCTCCGCAGAAAGCGGGAATCTCAGCAAGGCATTCATTCCAGTGGCAAAACTCAGAAATAAGCTTGTGTTCTCAGTCCGTATTTGGGCAGGTCCTTGCAATTACATGTTTTCTTTGTTTATCTCTATACCCTTTCAAGTTACATCGGTCCCGCCGTCACACGAAGCTGTGGGCCCACGGAAAATCGCGGGATGGGCGGAACCGGAGCAGGTCGTCGTGTGAGTGCGGGACGGGCGAAACCAGAGGCGGGCGTTGCCTGCGGCGAGGCGAAACGCCGCAGGGGCCGTGGGAAAAAGGGTGTGCCCACGAGATTCTGTGCTCCAAGGCGTCGCCACGAGAATCCGCGTGTCGATTCGCGCCAAAGAGAATTAGTGATTCGCACCCACGAGAATCCGTGGGACGGGCGCAGGCAGAGTGAGGTCCGGGGGGTGTGCAGAGGGAAGAGGGTGTGTGTGTGTGTGTGTGTGTGTGTGTGTTTTGATGCAAGGCGAAACCCCCGCGAGTATAGTCGCGGCGAGCCATACGATTTTAGACGACAAAATTCAACCCAACTTTTTATTGCAATCACAAGAAGAGAGGTGAAACACTGTGTAAAAAAAATGCTTTGTAATAACCTCTGCGAAAAAAACTCTCTCAATCCTATTGGGGTAATATCATTCATGCTGAAGCAAGTCCGAGAGCAAATGATACGGGATACCCGTTGGAGTTTCCAAGGGAAGAAAGGAGGGAGAAAGACGAAAGAAGGACAGGGAGAAACGAAAGATGAGGAGGAGAAGGAAGGAAAGGGGGAAGGGGGAGGAAGAACGGCAGGGGCTGAAGAGGGGGACAATACAATCAAGAAAACCTTCGGAGGGAAGTGTGATAAACCAGTCACTCAAGTCCTTGAAAATTACGGAAGTAACCCGTCGTAAAGCAAGCCCCACTCCAAAAAGTCCTATCGATAGAAAAAGCAGGTAGAACGGGGGAAGGGTGTCGAGGGTGGGTGGTGGGAACTTAAACTATCCGAGTAACCATGCGTGATAACAAAGAAAGAAAGAAGCAGCAGCAGCCGCAACATTCCCATCCTCAATACGCTACACACCCATGTCGAAGAGTTCTCAAAGGAGGGGGCAGGAAACTCCATGATGACCAGATAGTGCACACATTCCGACCACAACATTTGAACAAGTATCGAAAGAGGGATGAGTAGGGCGGGTAGGGGTCAACACGCAGACCAATGCCTCGACCGGGCCCATTCCCTGCATCTACCCGACCCCTCGTCGTCCATCATCATGAAGCCCACGAGCAACTCGAGATAGTACTGCAGTCCTATCTCCCAAATCATGGATCACCCTCCCCCATCCAATCCAACGAAAGACAGCGATACCACTCCCCAATTGCTCCATCGTTTACAGGCCATACACCACTTCCTTGATTAGACACTCCCGCACCGTCAATCAGAACTGATAATGCCAAAAGGCACAATGATCCCGACACTGGCACCCTCCACCTCCTTCTATCACTATGAGCAAC